GTCCCAAGATATACGAGCAATGTTTCGAAGACATCTATGATCAAATGCTAGTAACCTACGAATATCCTCTACTCTTACCGGCCATGTTTCACTACCATAAAGTAGGACGGAACGAACTGCTGCGCAGTAAACACGCCCTTTGGTTAATAGACGGATATCTTGCCTACGCCACAAATGACGCAAGTTGGCGAAAGCTAGTCGAGCCTTTTGTATCCGTGCTGAGATTTCGTCACACATCAGACCACAAGGGCTGATGAGACTTCCAAGATAAGTGAAGCGGTCGACACGCTCAATTACTCCACTTCCTATCACTAGTTCGGATGTCAATGCAACCCATTCCTGAAGCAACATTTTGCATTTTGAGGGAGAGAATCGCATGCCGAACATGCCTGCATTGTTGCTTAGAGTGGTCAGCAGACTCTGCATTTTGTCAGCGTCTTCACCAAATAGAACTATGTCATCGGCATATTCTAAGTCAAAAAGTGAATTTCTCGGTAGAAGTTCAAACCCTGGAAATTCAGATGTGGAAAGTGTTGTCTCTAAAAGCAAATCAATGACAAAGTCAAACAAGAATGGAAAGAGTGAACAGCCATGACGAACACCACTTGAGGTAATCAATTCTGGTGGCAGTTCACCATAAGCTATCAATCTACCAGTTGTGTTTGAGTAGAGATCCTTTACAAGGTTTATGTACTTCTTTGGTACTCGTTTCAATGACAAACACATTTAACTCAGTAACAAAACACAAGTTCTTAGATTAGTCTCTTAATGAATAAACCTTCATACAGTAGAAAATGAACAGTTGTATACATGAAACCAGTGATTCGAAGTCAAATGCTTGGATCATCAAGAATACCACTACAAGAAAATCAATAATTACACGTGTTAGGTGCACAAATACATATTAAGGTATTACAAAATGACATTTAATTAAAAAAGAAATTAGTTAGTTACATAAATTAAATAAGATAACATTTAAAAGTTATACCTGTTCAATTAAGTTGATCGATTCGCCCTTACAAAAAGATAGTTCAAAAGGACTTTCAGCATTGAAATTATACAAAGCAACACATTGAGGTGTTTTTTTTGAATGATCTATATTAAGTTAGATGGGAAGCGGAGGAAACAAAGAGATAGACGATGAAAAAAACTATGATAACCTAGTTAGCTAAAAATGAACTAATCATGTATTATACATTTTAAGGAAAACAATGAGTTCTTCAAAAGAGAACGACATTTTCGGAGTTGTTTACACTTTGTTTGAAAAGTACCTTAGTTTACCAGTGGTATATTCAATGAAATGATAGCTAATTTCTAAAACTCAACGTAAACTAGGTCAGTTGAAGGTTGAGTAGTTTAGCGTTAACGTTACAGACTGTAAAACTAAGTGATACGGGTTTGAACCTCACAACGAGGATCAGTTCTCTTAAGACTATAGGTATGCCATACTAACAAATGCCAACTAGCTCGAAACCTATGTCCAGTGTTTTCTATCAGCTACCTTCAACCACCTCATATAGAATAGTACGTAGAAAGTGTGGTAATCAAACAAAAACATACCATCGTATTCAGGCTTCATTTGGAAATTTGTAGATTCGTGATATAATGACGGTATATCTGGTAAAGCATCATTTGAACTAACAGGATATGGAGTTTGTCGTCTTGCATGATCACACCTAAAAAATGAAACACACCTGTAGTACACTAATGACATATTCAAGAGTTGGTAAATAAGAGCTGAACACCTGAAAATCACTAGTACAGTAATATAGTAAATTATCGATTTGAAAAAATCCTATTCCAAGGTTAAACATTTTCCTTTTAATCGATTTATAATTATATTTCCTCTCCAAAAAATACTACTGAATAACAAGATGAGTAGCTGAAGATACTAATATGATCTAAATACCAACATCGTTCTGTTAGTAAATTAGACATATTCATTTAGTAGTTTACTCATAGTCATTACACTATAGATATTAATTTTATGCTAATCTAATTCGAAACAATTTACAGATTGTAAGTATTTGTAATAATTAAATAAATTAGTTTTATAAATAATACAGTGTTGAAAATAAGTACAATCTACTGATGTTTATAAAACACTATATAATAGCGTTGAAAAGCCACTCAAATGCCCTGGTATAACCGCCCACTCTTCTTCTCTAAATGCCCTCATATAACTAAGCATAAGTCCAAGTTACTGCCTTCACAGAACGGTGGTGTTAGAGGTATGATTTATTTATCTTACAGTACACAATAATTTTGGGTCGGACATAAAAAACTATTGCTTTAAAAATCAGTGCTTAGAGAAAAAATTAGCCAAAAAGTAACAATGAATATACACATTATGTAGTTGTTATGCTAAACAAAACAGCCAAATAAAATTTACATTTACGAAGTGTGTAAAATATCAAATGATCTAAATCGGTGCATCTCCATAGAATAGGATCAATTTATCTACATAATTCACATATAGATAGAAGAATGCAAGGACAAAATATTAACACCTGAACCGTCATAAAGAAAGTGTTACCATTAAAAGTAAAGTTGTGAAAAAACTGAGTGGAGAAAAAGCATTTAAGAATTTCTAAACACCACTTGACGAAATCACTTTGAATTACGCAATTTGTTAAACATTTAGTATGTTTAGTACGTTCTTGAAGAGTCCCTCAGTCTAGAGCGAAATTAATATGTGAAAACAAGAGTAAGGATGTTAAAACGAAAACAGAATTATTTGTTGAAGTTAAGGAAAAGTGATTCTAAACATATGAAAGAAAACATAAGTCTGAAAACAGAGTCTATTCGAACCCCACCAGTAGTCCTCGAACAGAGAACCTGTACAAAGTTATTGCCAGTCATGTCGAACGCAAAACCGGGCATATATGTGTGTCGTTCCAAGTTGTCATACCACATTAGCACAGCAAGACAAATCCCAAAGTGGCAAAACTAGCAACAATATTAGTAGTATTAGAAAAGATTAGGTGCAGTACAAGTAAAAAAAGGTATAAGATTTCAGGACTCAGGGTCTAAAAGGAGATGAAAAGTGAATGGACGTGTGCCGATGAGAACGATTCTGAGCCATATTACCCAAAGTCTCTAGTTACTGACTATAATAATCAAGTGGATTCAAACCAGGTGATCTAAGCCTATTACCATGGTTCAGTTCAATTCACAATGGCTTTACGAAAGGTTACTGTACTTCTTTCGTATGCAGTATCATCGGAATCGAATGCAGCCTTAAGGTCAAGAAATACAACTATGATTAAGAGGGAGTAGGTATGTCTATGTTTCAGAAACCGACAAAAGGTGAATATTTGGTCCACATATTCGAATCCAGGTGTGAAATCAACCTAGTTTTCCAGAGTTCGCCCTTCACGAGCCCTAGTTAAGTGTCGGATGATTACTGAGGCTAGTATTTTAAACACTATATAGGTCTAACTGATTCAGTTTCATTACTAAAAGAATGTTTGTCTCTTCTTAAAGCTTGGTACGATCAGAGATCGAGAGTAGTTAGGTGTGATTTCGTTCAGTTCCTAGATCCTGGCTAATACATCAGTCAATCCGACAGCTAAAACTAGAGATCACCATGCTTAATGATCTCGTAATTTAATCATTCAGGACTTGTCTGCCAGTCTGCATAGTTTTAGATCATTTATGGATTTTTCAACTTAATTGACCGATTCATCACTTCATTACATGCCAATTTCCTCCTAATTAGCCTATTATAACGACAAAAATCTAGTCAAGATAAAATATGCGAAAAGCAGTAATGAATAGTAATAGCACCAACAAGAATTGTTACATATTTCGTACACGTGACAATACAGGATAAGGTTACAGGGACAATTATTGACATAAGCTGGTAAGTTAGCTTTACACAGTGATATAAAAAATAAGCCAGTAGAGCAATGCACGTAGGTAATCTAGTCAATTAAAAATGAAATTTTCTTATAAGTAATGTGACTAAATGTAAAAAGATACAAAAATACGAAACGACTAGAATAATGCATAAGAAAAGCAAACACTGAATAATAAGATGAAAATTAACTAATCAAAAAATGTATTTTACAAAGCATTGACCAAGTGCATTTATATATATATATATATATATATATATATATATATATATATATATATATATATATACCGACTTCCAGAGTAAACATCAACAGGTACACCCAGCTGACGTGCCGCGAATAGGACAGAATTCACATCCTGAATTACACGTCTAGTCACCATCCATCTCCGCGTATACATATAGAAGAGATTGGATTGTAAAAAAAATTGTATACACTCAAGTATTAAATCAAGTACAGTTAATGACTTCATATAACGAATAACGAATGCAAGTAAACAAATAACCATTCACATACACAGACGAACGTTTACAGGAAAATGTGTTATTTACTAATCTAACTAATAATTTAGTATAATGAATTAGATATTAGAAATAGAATTCATGTACTGTGTAAATAATATGATAAATTGTAAAAATGATAGACATACCTATTTTATAAGTGAAAGAAATTTTTTTACAATGAATCATAAACAAAGAATTTAAAATGATCAAAATGATTTTCAATGGTATAAGAGGGAGAGTGTGTGTGTATTAATTTTAATACTGTTGCATCAATCTGAATAAACAATTTTGTGATGAAGCATCTATAGTTTTACTAAATGGTTTAAAACCAATTTAAAACAAAATGAAGGACATAACCAATTATTGGTCAGTAGATTTAATTGAAATATCATCTGATTGTTCTGATGATGTATTAAAGTATAGCAAATTGAACTAATATATGTTGGTGCCAAATACTATATTGTTTATGTCTAATTGTTTACTATTGGTTAGAGAGTGAATAAATTTCGGAAAACAACAATAAGAGGATAGAAAGTAAAGAAAATAACATGAAAAAAAATAAATGAACAGTTCGAGGACACTAAGCTGTCCAATTATAATGGTGCTAGTACGATATATATATATATATATATATATATATATATATATATATATATATATTCTGATTTGGGAAGAGTGCTGTGTAGTACAATGCTTAATGAAGTTTAATAGGGTGATTAGAAGGAGATGTAATACGTACGCCCACTACGTCATATACAACCATTCAGTAACCTGGATAGGACACAGAAGATATCAGTCAGCCAGTCAGCTATAAAGTAAGATCAGGCATATATATGCATCAGTCCAACTTGCCACACCTCATCACCACAACAATATCAACACCAAATTCATAGTAGTTACTTCAATGATAGTAATATATAAAAGAAAGATTGTGTATAAAGATATAACACAAGAACAAAAAACCGGTTCTTAGAAAGAAAAGTATAGAAAAATTTTAATCTCACCGTTTAAGGGAAGACAGATAGTGTATACACCGACGCCATTGTGATCGATTCTCAGCCATGTCACACATAATCTCCAACAATTGGTTACCATAATCACGCAGACCACAACCAAGTACACCGCATCTTCCAACATGGCTCAGATCAGAAGTAAGTGACTTCAATGACTGATGCAACCTTTTGGTTTCGCCGCCCCTGACTTAATTCCAACCATCCCCAACACCGGTTAGCATTGCGCGTCGTGGTAAACGGTTTTCAGAATTGTGAGTCGTGGTAAATGGTGTTCAGGCATACGTAACACGTGACCCAACCATCTCAGTCGATGATGATTTACAATCTCATCAACTGATTTACCATCATTCCCTAATAGTTTGTGCATAACCTCATTATTACTTACCCCGTGATCCTATCAGATGCGAGCAATATTTCCACGGCATCTGTGATCAAATACTAGTTGCTTACGAGTATCTTCTACTCTTAATGGTCACGTTACACAGCCGCAAAGTAGAACAAATCCAACTACCAAGCAGTATACTCGTCACTTAATTGATGAACGGATACCTTGCCTTCACCATAGGTGGTGACGTAAGTTGGTAAAATCCAAAAGAGCTTTCTGAATCAGTCAAGAGATTTCATCGGACACCAACCCATCAGGGCTCATCAGACTCCCAAGATAAGTGAAGTTGTCGAAGTGTTCGACTACTTCACTCCCTATGCTTAGTGCAGGTGTTGACGCAGGCCAGTTCTGAAGCAACAAATTGCATTTATATGGGGAGAAACGCATCCCAAATATTCTGGCATCGTTGCTACCAAAACACCCTACATTTTATCAGCGTTTTCACCAAACAAGACTGTCATCAGCGTATTAAAAGTCGACCTCCTGGAAGGAGATAAATGTCCGAAAATTCAGTCGAGGAGAACGTCATTTCCAGCAGTGTGTCTATAGTGAAGTTGGACAAAACTGGAGATAGTGGACAACCTTTCCGGACACCATTTGAGGTTACAAAACAGATGACAGTTCGACATAAGCTCTCACTCGACTAGTAGTGTTCGAGTAAAAAGCCTTTACAAGGTTTATGTACTTCTGAGGTACGCCTTTCAATGACAGAAACTGCTACAGAACCTCTCGGTCTACAGAGTCAAATGCTGCTTTTAAGTCAAGAAAGACTACCATTGTCGTACGCCGATAAGTATGACTGTGTTCTAGAACATGACGAGTGATGAACATGTGGTCGATGCAGCCACGACCAGGTCTAATATCAGCCTGATTTTCTCTTGTTTGCAGTTCACAAGTATTAGGCGGCCGATAATTATTGAGGATAGTGTTTTAGATGCTATTTTAGTCAAACTAATCACTCTATGGCGGTCATAGGATGAATTTGACCCCTTCTTATACAATGGGATAATCAGTGATTAAGACCAGTCGGATGCAATTACGTTCAACTCCCAGATTTTATCTAACCTAATCGCTAAAACTAGACCACTATACTTAGAGACATCTGGAGCCAATCCATCTGGACCAGCTGCTCTTCCTCGTATCAGATTAGTTATAGTGTTTTGAACTTCATCTAGGGTGTGGGGACCTACTTCAACGTTCCATTCACACTGCCTGGGAATGGTGGGTAGATGTAGAGTAGCTGAAGGCCAGCTGAATTGCTCCTGAAAGTGTTCTGCCCATCGTCCTAAACGTCTGGTCCGAGAGTAGATAAGAGTGTCGTCTTTTTCCGAGATAGTCTCACTTACACTTAACTTCTAAACCCCAGTTTCTTTTATTAGTCTGTAGAGCTGTCTTGTGTTCCCTATAGCCGCCGCCTTTTCCACCTCTTTTGCTTTCGTTGCCCACCACTATTCACAGGCGTTTAACTAGCACATCTCAAAATTACCTAGCTAAATTGATAGAGTATTCGATTTTAAACACATAAAGTACGTAACTCAGACAGACAAAAAGAGAAAACAACTAAAATCTATACCAAAACACCGATTCGTGTATTAACAAATGAAATTAAACTTTCCATACTGATTGACATACATACAAATATAAGTACGAAGAAAATTGCATCATACTGACTGGTGTTAACATTATATAAACTAAACTAATTCGTTATTTTTTCATTTAAAAAAGTAAGTACATTACATACGTTAACGTAAAACAATAATGATGTGAAAATAAATCATAAAGTGAACTGTTAAAGTATACTCTACTAGATATTTTCTGTATATGTGTTCATTTTCTCATATAGAAAAACAAAACTATTTCAGTGATTTAAGAGTAAAACAGTGTACTGAATAAGTAAATAAATGAAACACATCTACATACAGAAGATAGACACCGAAGGGAGGGAGATCGAATGATTGCTCTACTGGAAAGTATTTAAAAATAGCTACTATTAATTAACCATTAGTGGAATTTATAAGTTAAAGAAATATACTCATGATATATATATATATATATATATATATATATATATATATATATATATATATACTTATTTTTTAGGATGAAAAATTACATTAACAAAATTTTGTTAGATATGCTGGCAGTGACGTAGAATGAACAAAGGCATAGAAACGTTATTTTTATTAAGGAAACTAATAATGATTTTATGCAAAGATGGATAGTGGCTAGCAGTGGAATCCAGGACACGCGTTTCGTCCTATTTGGGACTCGTCAGCTGGATGTACATGCACCTCAGAGTTTATGTCTACTCTGGGGCTCGAACTCAGTATCGTTCGCTTCAAACGCTATCGAGTTATCCACTTGGCTACTGGGTCCTGAATTAAGGCTATATCGAGACAATATGCACACATACCAATAGGAGATGGATCGATTACAGTCCTAAACATTAATGGGAAGATTCAAACAAACAATACCTAGTGAGTTTAATAATAATTTTGTTGTTGGGAGCTTGAATATACTTCATCATAAAAAAAGATAAGGAAATTATAATTGGGAAGAGAAAGCTTAGCGTGATAAGATAAAATGTTGAAATTGAGATGGACTGTAATCAGAAGGATCTTAGAAACGGAAATAAACCAGATTCGGGCAAAAAGTCTATGGAAAAGACAGAAAGAAAAGATGGTGGCAATGGAAGAAAAGGATGAAGAAGAAAAATTATGAGGCGTTAAGATCATGGTAAAAGAAGAGGTTGCACCAAATTCTTTTAAACATATAATTCTGGTTTTACCAGATGCATAGTAATTGCTTCTGCAATGTTAAGAAGATACAATATAACTGCTTTTGGCAGCTTTCTACTTACTTTGTAGATGAATTTGAACCCCGGGCCCGCTTAGATTGAAAAACATTTGTTCACAAGGTGTTCAATTGCTGAGCCGTTTCCACCTCTTTTTTAGCCAAGCCGGATAATTTTCTTGGATTCTTTTGGATAAAGTACGCATCAAACGACCTATATACCTTACTCCACATGATGGTAAATGGACATAAAGTTGGTCACATGAGATAATATATCCTCAAGATCATTGATGAACATTCATAGGCAGAACAGTATTCGCGAATTTACTGTGGAGAACGTTCTATTTAGAGAATCATAAATTCTTCTCTTTAGGACGTCTGTAACTCCATCACCCTTAAAATCGATGTTCATGTAAAGTGTTTTCTTTTCAACCGAGTTTATTTGTGCTCTAGGCGGTTTAAGTTTTATATTCTTGCCAATAAATTTTAATTAGAAGGAATACAGTAGGATAATAAAATAAATTTGATTAACTCCCATATTGTTCTAATTCACAGTATGAGATTGTTTGAAATTTTACAGTCGTGTGAGGATCCGATTACATCTAAGGTATTCAATGAATTTCTAAAGTTTAATCCCCATTCCACTGAGCCAAAAACTTTAAAAAATACAATTAAAATGTATGTTTTTAGTTGATTATTTTTTTCCCATATCAAAGATAAATCCGAGTTTATCAACCACAGTAACAATAAAAATTGATTTTAATGAACAGACTAGTTCATTTTTTCCGTGTTTTTAAACAAAAAAGCATTCTGACAGAAATGCAATACACAAACTTACGCATCCAATAATCTGTAAAACAAAAAAGAAAGTATGATAAGCAGGACGTATACAATACTAATGAGCACAAATAATCAGTAATATATATATATATATATATATATATATATATATATATATATATATATATATATATTTCTGGGCTACCTGTTCCTGCCATCTGGATATTTCAACAAGTTATCTGTTTTCTTGTTTGTTTTAACACATCATTATGCCTATTAGTCTCATAACCTATTCACATGCGTTCGTGAAAAGTTTACGACATTTCGCTGTACATGTTACAAAATAGCTCAGATGTCGATTCTTGAACTGATAACATCTAACTGGCGACCATTCAATGTTTATCGCAAGGAACTGATAAGAAAGAAAAACTTGTTGAAATACTTTGTGCTGAGAATTCTAGATTGTACCAAAAATATAATACTGAATAAAGCCACTAATAATTATTATATATATATATATATATATATATATATATATATATATATATATATATATATGCAGTGACGCGTTGACGATAGTTGAAAAATTAATGTATCTGAATAGTTGTGTAAGTACTGGTGTTGGGTGTGGTGGGGAGATTTACGTAAATAAGGTGAACACCAGAACAGCTTACACCAATATGAACCATCTGCGGCGCCTGTCTGTAAGAGGTTACGTCCAAAACCCGCCGGTTAGAGAGACTCTGTTATATGCTTCTGCGTGGTAAGGATGTCTGGGGACTCTCTGGGTTCGGTCCTGATTGTCTCCGAAGGTGACAACGCTGAAATTTCAAAATGTGTTCATGTTATGGAGCAATTGATGTTACGATCTTGAAACATCCGCTTCGATAGTTCGGTTATTCTAGGGGTCGCGCATTATCGCTCTTTATAAAAGTGAGAGAAATTCCCTTAATTGAACAAGTCCTTTCGTCACTATATTGCTAACTAAAATATATTTCCTATTAACGTAATCAGAATTTGATGATACATATTGATTGAAATATTTTAAGCATGTAGTAAAACCAATCATTCAAAAATTTACAGAATGGACACAATAGTGATAAACAAACTGGTTATTTTGTGATCATGAACGACTATCGTTGCAATAATAGTTTACACATATCAAACAAGCAATTATGTGTAGAAACGATAGATTAGGGCTAGGCTTCAAGAACACTGAAGATATAATATCAATTTAGAATGTTACTAGTTATTGATCTAAAACAAGTGAGGCTGTTTGGATCACGATAACTAATCTAAACTAGATGGATGACAAGGGTATTTACTACAATGTTCAGGATTAAATAAAGTCTACGATTACAGTCAAACCTCAAGTACTTATAACTATGTAGTTGAATGGTACTTCTAAAAGGTGGTGTTAGAAGTGTTGAGGCCTAGGACTTATGTATTTAGACACCATGGATTTCACCACATAACGATAATTTTCAGTTTTATGTAGAAATGAACTATGAAAAATAACGCAAGAATCCAAGAATAGTAAAGAATATTGTCCAAATAAAAAACACGATCAAAATATGCTTCATCCCATTCAAAATACATCTTACTATGAGTGTATGGTTAAAAACATTGTGATTTGATTTAATCATCAACGTTGGATATTCTTTCCGCTCTCGACTATTTTCGCACCCTTTTGGTATCAACAAACTACAAGTTATGGATGTTGTTGGAATGTAACACATAAAGCATGTTGAATTTGGTAAAAACCGATGCTTCAGTATGATATTAATAGATGAGCTAGAATCCCCAAACGCCAACATGGTAGACAATCAATCGACACGATAATTTGTGTTGAATTATTTATAAATGCAAATGTTACAACAAATTTTATACGTATTATAATGTGGCTTTTTTTATTTCCTCTCACTTGCAATGTTATAGTAGATCTGTAGCTATATAAGTGAGAGATGTTTAGTTTACTTTCAGTCAAGTCAATATGTTGAGACCGATACACTTGACAAACATACATAGTTGTTAATAATGCTGAAATTGTCAGGGACTTCATTTCAATATGTTACAACACAAATGTATAGATAAACACCACAGAAGAACTATCAGATCAAGGTGACATGATATATGATAAAAGGACTCAGACAAACATGACATTGGTCACTACTTATAGCGTCTAGTGCTGCCGCGTCTAAATGGGTTACTCTGGATTTTGAACAGAACAATTGATTTATTCTTCTTAGTCCATTAGCCGTACATACATTGAAAATATCAACTAATTGCTTTTAACCTTGACTGTGTTTATTTGAGCTTATATGTATGTTTATCATTTAATCTATTAATCACATGTATTTAGATGATTTTTCTGTTTGGGTATAAATAGTGAGTCACGCTCTGTCAATTGAGGTTGGCACGCTTACCTTCTCCGCTTCGCTCCTCATCTTGAAGTCTGTTTGAGTAAACAAGCGCATGAAAGAAATTCATTGATGGTTTTTAATTACCGCCATCACTCAGAGTAGCCTAAGTAGAATGTACGAAATTAATTGGAAGATTTATGTTCATGACTCATTCGTAGTACGATCAAAAATGGATCTCGGGCCACCAAAACCTTCAGTAGTATACTAAAATAAACTAACCTCATTTCAAGTTCTCCATGTAGATCGGATAAAATCCGAGCAGCATCCTGATAGAAGCTTAATTGAGCATTAACGAAATTAGACAAAGTTTTGATCTGTTCAACCTTGATGTTTGTAAAGAATTTGTGCATGAACAAAATGTGAGCATGTTGAATAGATAGTAAAAATAAGTGTAAGACAAAACTTAGTTAAATGCAACGGATAAAAGCCTATCATTGGACAAACTTGTTGAACAGATCTATGTAAATTTGCTCCATATTGAAAAAACTTACGTTTAGGGATATTTAATAGCTTCTAGTAATTACAAATTTATATTCTAGGTTATGAAATTACGATTCATAAATAATGGTTACTAATAATTCCAACAGTAGCTGCTATCTTATTGTGGTGATCGAACTTTCCTATCTTGATGACTCATTCAAGCTATACTGGCTGAAACACCTGTTTCTTTAGAATCTCAGTCAGTCAGCAACAATGTAGAGCCAGGCACATATATGCATTGGTCCAAGTTACCATACCTCTTTAGGCTCTACCATGCTAAGAAGGTTGGTTGAAGAACGGTTAGACTAAAAAGAGACTCAAAGTCCAGAAGCGAAGACGTTCTGCTGACGGAACTAAGGTGTGAAATGATTACGATGTTTTCTTTAGATAACTGACATCCTCAGTGATACTGCCTTCTTCCAACTAAGAAAGGGAAGTAGAAACGATGAGCTCTAAAAATACCACATCTCATCTCATTTAAAGTACACAGCTAACGACTAGGAAAGCGGCAGTGTTTGATCGGTCCTGAGCAGTTGTCCCTTGGGCTTTGAGGTTACCCTTCTGGGTAGTCAAGATCACTACTAACCTAGTTTCTTTTCAGGTCTCTCAAGAAGAAGTATACTTCTAAGGTGTTTAACTTTTTATGCCAATCAACAAAACATTTAAATACTTATATCCTCAAGATTAAATAAATATTTATTAATCGTATGACAGAAAAGAACCTTAGAGTAAAAACTATTTCATCCATAAAATAACTACAATTTTCTGAATGGACATGTGATTGCATCACTAAACATATGGCTGCTAATCACGTTTTATAACTAACAGTTGAATAATTTTAAAAAATGACAATTCAGGTTAATCTATTAAAGGATCGATAATAGATAAACACAATGTAGTCATTATACTACAGTAATGAAAATATATTTAATAGAACAGTTGTTGAGTTGCAATGTTGTATTTTTTTCTAGGTCTAATACATCACTAAGCCATATGTATAAGCCTCCGCAAACGAATGGTTTAAGTGAACCTATTTAACGGTAAAAATAGTATTTGAAAATAACAATTCGAATTATTAATATGAAATAATCGTTATTTAAAAAGTCATTGACCTGATCGTAGCTTCCACCTTAACTTGATGACCAGGTTTGTCTATCGTGATGACTCAACCGGGCTATATTCGCTGAAACACATGTTTCTTTAGGTCCTATCATGTCAAGCAGGTCGGTTAGAGAAGTCATACTGTTGACTGCAGAGTGGTGAGACAGCACAGTAAGGTATTTCACTCGGACAACCAGCATCTGAAGTGATTCTGCCTTCTCAGAACGGAAGAAAGGGGTCAACCGTAAAAATATCACACCTTACCTTACCCACAGATTTCCATCTCCGACGGTAAGGTCTTTCGAAGTGCGAAGGTAACACATCAACAACGTCTCATAAAAAGGGCGCGCACGACCGACCTCAAGCAATCGTTCCTTGGACTCTATGTTCACATCCCTTGGTCGCGAAAACTGCCACTAATTCAGCTTTTTTTCAGATCCCTCAAGAAGAAATATCCTTACACGGTGTGGTAAACTTGGAAGTAAAAACCTCGCTCATACCTCTATCAGCACCCGAGATCATCTTGTTGACGATCGAATTCCTCTCTCACCTCTTGCTAATTCCTCTATCCCCACCACTAACCCTTCTCGTATATCTTTATCACCACGCGCCACCAACACTAGTGACTTGAGTTCACGAGATGTTATTCCTAGTTTCCTGAAACCACTCTCTAAATTACATGTTGTAGCTTTTAATAGGGAAACAGGCTTCTTTAGCTACGACTACAGAATTTTGCGCCATCTATGTATGTCGCATCTTCGAAACGCATATACAGGATTCACGTATAGTCATCTGTTTGAACTCGCCTTCTCGGTATTAGGAACCGGCACGATTCACCCTTCGAGTATCTTGGATCCCCGCTGCTACTGCCCATGGCTTCGCTGGCATAGGTATTGAATTAAATACAAAAGCAGGACAGGTTCTGTTAAACTGGGTTCAAATAGGCAGCCGTTTGTGCGCTGTCATACGTAACGGAATGGTAAGAAATCGGGAAAATAGACACATGCCGATGCCTTTTCGTTGTCATTGCCTAAGCTCCCATCGATTCGCAGCTCGGATGAAGTTAAAGATAAATTTTAAAAGTTACTCAACATCCTTCAAAATTTAAACATTCTCATGTAGTAATAGTAGTGGGTGGTTCTAATGCTGAAGTAGGCAAAGTAAACAAAACCGAGAGGTATTTAGCCGGATTTAACAGTATCGTGGCACATTGAACAGATAATCCTGACCGTCTACTACAACTATAATCGTATAACCATGTGTTTCTAGTAAGTACTGACTTTAAACATAAAGAATCAGTCAGTCAGATAGCTACAACGTAGGATCAGGCATATATATGCATCAGTCCAACTTGCCACACCTCATCACCACAACAATATCAACACCAAATTCATAGTAGTTACTTCAATGATAGTAATATATAAAAGAAAGATTGTGTATAAGGATATAATACAGGAACAAAAAACCGGTTCTTAGAAAGAAATGTATAGAGTAATTTTAATCTCACCGTTTAAGGGAAGACAGATAGTGTATACACCGACGCCATTGTGATCGATTCTCAGCCATGTCACACATAATCTCCAACAATTGGTTACCATAATTACACAGACCACAACCAAGTACACCGCATCTTTCAACAAGGCTCAGATCAGAAGTAAGTGACTTCAATGACTGATGCAATCTTTCGGTTTCGCCGCCCCTAACTTTCTTCCAGCCGTCTCCGAATCTAGTCGGAATTGTGAGTCGTGGTAAATGGTGTTCAGGCATACGTAACACGTGACCCAACCATCTTAGTCGATGATGATTTACAATCTCATCAACCTATTTACCATCATTCCAGTCCAGTGAAACTCAGGAAAATAGGTGCTAGAACTAGAGCATGATCTGAGCCTAAACGTAGGTTCCAGAATGAGCGACAGTCTTCTAACGAGCTTCTCTAACGATAGTTGATGGCAATGTGGTCTATTTCGGTCGATTGTGGGGTTCTTCACGTCAAACGATGTTTCTCTTTTCTCTTAACTTAAAAAGAAAAACATCGACCGAAATAGACCACATTGCCATCAACTATCGTTAGAGAAACGCGTTAGAAGACTGTCGCTCATTCTGGAACCTACGTTTAGACTCATATCATGCTCTAGTTCTAGCACATATTTTCCTGAGTCTCATCAGATGTAAAAGAGCCACAGAAAAAAAACCCTTAGAGTCCAACTTAATGATGAAAAAGTTAAGAATATATTTCGGGAACTAGATACAGAGCTAGTCAACCGTGAATATGATATTCACCCCGAGGTAGCTTGGCATAACATCCAGAAAGCTATTTAAAGAGCAGTGATATCTACTAGTGATTTAAACCAGGTTAGGAAAAATCAGTGGGTATCTGAAACACAGACATAATTTTCGACGTCCAATTGTAGTTGTATTCCTTGAACTTAATGTAGCATCCGACCCCGTTGATCGTGAAGTTCTGTGGCAGTGTCAGTCATTGAAAGGTGTCCCAAAAAAGTACATTAACCTCGTGCAGGCTTTTTACTTCAACACTATCTGTCGAGTCAGAGTTTATACTGAACTATCATTGGTATTGGTGCTCACTACGGTTGTCCGCTCTCCCCATTTTTATTTAATTTTCTTTTGGAGATAACACTCTCAGAAGTCGTTCTTCTGCCAAGAGATTCACTTGTTGACTTAGAATACTCAGATCATATAATTCTGTTTGGTAAAGACGCTAACAAAATGCTGTCTTCTGACCACCTTAAGCAACAACGCAACCATGTTTGGAATGCGGTTTTCTCCATCCAAATGTAAAATTTTAATTGAGGATTGGCTTGTGTAATCGCCTGAATTAATGACAGGGAGTGAAGCAGTTAGACGTATCAACCGCCTCACTTATCTTAGGAGTTTCATCAGTCCTGATGGTCTGGCGTCTGATGAAATCTCGGCACGGATTCAGAAAGCTTGATTGACCTTCGTAAACCTGCGTCACTTGTAGCGTAAGCGAGATATCCATCTTCCAACTAAAGGGCAAATTCAATCCGTTCTACTTTATGAATGCGAAACGCGGTCATTAAGAACAGAGGATATTAGTAGGTTACAGGTATTCGATCATATGTGCCCTCGAAGCATTGCTCGTGTATTTTTGGACCAAAGAGTGAGCAATGCCTGGGTTAGGAATAGGGTGTATTAGGCAAGGATGGAAAATCGATTGATAAGGTAGTAAATCATCCACTGAGGTAAGTTGGACATGTGTTACGCATGCCCAACCACTGCCTACATCAACAAGCGATCTTTTCCGGTGTAGAAGTACACTGGAAGAAAGTTATGGACGGCCAAAACAAAACATGGCATCAGTCCATGATGTCACCGTTAATTTCCGTCAGTTAATGTAGACAAAATATCCATTGTCCAACTAAAGGACGAGTATACTGTGTAAAAATTCACTCTTTTCTACTTTGTGGCTACGAAACATGACCTTGAAATACAAATATTTTTGGATTACTAGTATATTTTGGGGTCACCAAGTTAAAAAATTTGAGGTTAGATGTGGATTACTAGGTTAGTATGGTGGGTCGACAGAGAAGGTAGTTAATCTCTATTGACTGAGATGGTTGGGACATCTATTACATATGTCCATCCACCGGATACCTCGACGGACGACGATGAATTGTGTAAGACCATATTAGGAGAAAGATAGGGGTGCCCAAACCAAGACATGGCATCGACCCATCAATAAAATGACTGTTGGACTAGCCACTTAGGTAAGTACGGGCGTGATTATCGTAACCAATGGTTGAACACTTTGAATGACAGTTCAAAATTGTTTTCAACGGCCCAAGTGCATCCGTCCTTTATCTTCCCCCAAATTCTGGGATTTTAAATTACCCATAACTTTTCTGTTCTTGCTACACTAATTAATAGTTTCTTCTCAAATTTTGTCTTCGATGCTTAATGTTTCCTATAACCACTGATAATGTTACTACCTCTACTATTGTGGGATTTGGCCTGACAATTCCATCTCTTTGTGCTAATGGGGTATGACAAATTGAACCGATGTACATACGTACCAGGTTCCATGTTGCGACCGATTAAAAAATCTATGAGATTAAAATCGCTTCATATCATTCTTTCTACGAGCCAATTCTTTCTTCCTGTACTATGTTCTTACATGCAATCTTTCGTTTATATATTACCACCATTGAATTAACTACTTCTATGAATCCGGTGTTCATCTTGTTGTGCTAATGAGGTATGGCAACTTGGACCGATTAGATGGTGGTTGGAGGTAGTCAACAGGACCGATGCATATATGTTCCTGGTCCTACGTTGTAACTGACTGACTGACTGATTGAAAAAACATGGAAGTACTTTTTAAAGAATAACTACCATTTCATCAGACAAACATTTGCCCGTTGCCTGACATATATTGTTTTTGAATGTATTAATTTATTTTGCAAGAAATACAGCCGAATTCTATATAAGCCAATCAATCTGTAATCACATTATAATGGCTTTACGGCAATGCTATCAGCCTTAATTGATTGAAGTTTAACAAGGTGATATACGAATGATACTTCAGCAAATCTTGTAGGATTCAAAACAAACGTTTATTATTACAAACGACAAAAGTATATGTACATCCCGAATTGACCAAGCTCGATGATGGAGGTAAAAACCAGTAACACGGATTCTTACTAGTCTCTCTAAAGTATTCAATATTAATAAATTCTATCACAAAGTGGAAACCAATACGTTAGCTGCTACACTCCAAACATGATCGATCAGAGCAAATAATATTAGATATTAATTACTAGTTAACATATACACATTGTATCGATCAACTACTTAATTATGCTGATCATCTTAATTTTTACTGTCAGTTATTTTTTAGTTTTGTTCTATGGTAAAAAAAAACTATCTTTCTATCAATGGAAAGATGAGCATATACACAAAGGATAGATACACACAAATATACATATACAAAAATAAACAATGGAAAATAATTTAAAGTAATCACTTCAGTATCCAAAAAGTTCGACATAGCTGTTGTACTAGCTGCCAATGAGTCTTCATACTGAACTCTACACTCCTCAAATGCTTGATCCGGGTGAGCATTGGCTATTGTTATTTTACAAATTATAGTTCGAGTTCAAATGTGGATTATGAAAAAAGAGGAAACAACAATACAATACATTGTAATAATGCAATCCTAAGGAATATATTGGCATAAACAAGTAATTTTAAAAAATTTCGATGAATTTACACTTAAACAATTAATACGACGTATAAAAGTAACTCCGCCTGTACTTCTTTTACGGTTACTATCGGTCCCAAGCAAGGATAAAGAAAATGGGTTGGGTATGGGGTCAGCTACCTCATTCTGTAGAGAACAACCTTGTTAAAAATAAACTAACCAGAACAAATTAAACCATTTAGACTATGTCCTCCGACTTAAAAGATTTTCGTTAGGAAGAGTTGTGACGCCTCATGGTGAAAGCCTAGATTCGTAGGAAGTCACAAGGTGGATACCCCTTCTAAAAACAAACGCAACAATTGATATAAGTACATGGAATATCCAGACAATGTGGGAGACCAAGAGGATTAATCAACTTGTTACGAAATCAGGATAAAACTTGGCGGATCTCGGGATCAGCGAAACCTATTGGATTCAAGCTGGATAGAAAAAGTTAAATTAGGGAGAGATGCCGATGTACTCCAGTCACAAAGAAGCACGTCAACCACACATACGATGGGTATCTCATGAACTCAAGATCATCAAAGCACCCTTCAAAAATGCAAGGAGGGAATCACAATGAATATTATCTAATGGTATGCACTTACCAATGATAGCAACGACGACGATAAAGATCACTTATACGAGAGGCTGCATTCGATCATAGCAAAGTGTTCTGGAAAGGACCTCAACATCCTGATGGAAGACCTAAACGCCAAAGTCGGAGTGGACAACACCAGGTATGAAATTAACAAGGGACGACATGGAATCACTGGGAGAAAGGAAGGGGAATGGTGACAAATTTCCAAATTGATGTGCATTCAACAAAATGATTATAGGCGGCACAACATTCCCACACAAACACATACATAAAGCTACAAGTGTATCACCGGGTCACGACACACAGAATCAGATCGCTCCCGTTTACATCACTAACAAATTCAGTAGGTCAATGGAAGACGTGAGAACCAGGAGACAAACTGACAGCTTCACATCACCACCACCTAATAGTTGCCAACATGGAACTGAAGCCAAACAAGTAATAGACAACTGGGAAAACAGCATTACAAAGGTTCAATACAGACTTCCTTCCACATACAGATAAATCCAACCAATTCAACATAGCTCTCAACAACAGGTTACAAGCCTTACAAGATCTTCTCAAAGAAGAAGAAGAAACTACCATGGAGGATAACTGGGAATGGATCAAAGAAACACTAACTTCAACGTGTTAGGAGGTTCTAGGTCTCAAGAAGCATCATCATAAGGAATGCATCTCTAGCAAAACCCCAGACAAGATTCAAGAAAGAGAGAAACAAGAAGACAGAAATTAACAACGGTCTAACAAGAACAGAGAAATTCCATGCACAAGCTGGATACACAGAAGCAAACAAGAAAGCAAAAAAATCATTAGAGCCGGCAAGCAGAAGTATATGGAAAATCTAGCAACGACGGCGGAAAAAGCTGCAAGAGAACGAAATATCAAACAACTACATTACACTAGAGAAATCAATCAGGCAAAAAGAAGGCAAAACAATCACTGAGATTCAAAAACAAAAGAGTAGAACACTGTGTGAAACTCTTGAATAGGACGGCTCCATTGAATCCATTGAATGCCAAAGCACCACACACAAACCTTCATATACATGTCGCTCCACCAACGATAAAACACATCAATTGTGACCATCAGACAAATCAACAGTGGGAAAGCAGTAGTACCTGATATCATACCAATCGAAGCACTGAAGTCACACAGAGAAGCAATCGCAAACATGCCTCACGTTCTATTCAGGAAGATTTGGGAGGAAGAGCAAGTGCCAGAGACGGACTGGAAAGAAGGACAACTCATCAACATACCAAGAAATAGAGATCTGAGCAAATGTAACAACCACAGAGGCATAACACTACTATCAGTAACAAGAAAAGTTTTCAACGGTGTTGCTCAACCGGATGAAGGACTGAGTAGACGCATCTTCAAGTTCAACAGATCGCATTCCGTACGAACCGATCATACACATACACAAAGCTACATGGGTCTCACCGGAACACAACACGGAGAACCAAATAGATGATATTTGCATCACTAACTAATTCACAGGGTCAATGAAAGACGTGAGAGCCAGAAAAGAAGCTAACATAGCTTCAGGTAACCATCTGGTTGTGGCTGAGATCAACAAACCGCATTCCGTAAGGATCGGTCGTAAACAGACCAAATTGTGGCAATAGGGATCATCGTTGAATAATCAATTGAATGAAATTCGTCACCGTACATCAACTTCACTGACCATACAAAAATATTTGACAAAGTGGATAGCAGAACCCTATGAAACCTTCTTCGACATTATGGTGCGAGTAGCTGAGAAAATCGTCAACACCATCTGCAATTCATATGACGGACTACAATGCAAAGTCGTGCATGTAGGACGGCTGACAGATGCATTCCAAGTGAGAACCAGAGTCAAGCAGCGTTGCTTACTCTCTCTCTCACACCTTTCTCTTTCTTCTGGTGGTTGACTGGATTACGAAGACCTCCACATCTGATGGGAAGCACGACATAAAATGGACAGCTCAGAATCAACTAAACGATTTGGACTTCACAGATCTCTTAGCCCTTCTATCCCATACACACAAACAAATGCAGATCAATACGACAAGTGTAGCAGCGGTCTCTTCTGCAGTAACTTCAGCATGCACAAGGGAAACACCAATATCCTCTAATACAACATGGAGAACACCAATCAAAACAAGCACACTTGAAGAAGAAACTCTGCAACAGGTGAAAGCTCTCATTTACCTGATTGGTCAGCATCATCGATGAACAAGGAGGATATGATCTAGACGTCAAGGCGAGGATTGGCAAAGCAAATACAGCAACCCTACACCTTAACAACATATAGAACGCAAAACAACTGTCTCTCAACCAATATCAAAGTAAAAATCTTCAATCCGAACGTCAAGACAGTTCTACTGTGTGGAGTTGAAACTTCAAGAACCACGATCAAAATTTTACAAGTATTTCTAAATAATTGTCTACGTAAGATACTGAATGTCCGTTGGTCGGATACCATCAGCAGCAGCCTACTTTGGGTGAGAACAAACGAACTTCTAGCTGAAGAGGAAATTAGGAAAGGACGTTGCAGGTTGATATGGCATACATTAAGGAGAGTATCACACTACATTACGAGACAAGCGCCAACTTGTAGTCGTGAAAGGAAACGGAAAAGAATGCCAAAGAAGATACTGCGTCGAGAATCGGAATCAGACATGAAAAGGATGAATAGTAACTGGAAAGGATTGCCCAAGACAGAGTTGGATGGGGAGTGCTGGTGGTCGACCTATGCTGCTTTCTGAGCGGTAACAGGCGTAAGTATGATGGTTATATATATATATATATATATATATATATATATATATATATATATATATATATATTGAAGGTGAGCATTTAAGAGCGAATTCTTTTTTAAGAAGCTGATTAATTTCACAACCGGTTAACATTGTTAATTAGTAAATGTCAAACGATTAGTAAAGAGTTATAGAGATTGGATTCGAAACATATAAACCCCGCCTTTAAATATGCTCACTCATGGTAATTCAAATATAGATAGACAACTGTCCAATTTAAACAACTAGATATACATACGCTCTGAAGACATATACGATCATATGCTGATGATGACCTACACAGTTTCTGTCTTTAAAAATCACATTTCACCGTCTCAAAGTAAAATAGAGCCCTGAGTATTCCCTTTTCGATAAGTAGATAAATGTATCGCATGCAGCACAAATGGTGCAAGCTCGTGAAACCCGGCGGAATCTTTCGATTCCGTGTCTAAACGTCATCAACTACTAACAACCCATTAGACCTAATGAGACTTTGAAGGTAAATGGAGCCCGACGACTTTATTTCTAAGTGATGCAAACCATTTCTGAAGTAATACTTGTAAAATAATGTTAACTTACAATGAACAATATTATGAAATTAACCAAATGCTCGAGAAACCAATTACAACTTGAGCAAGTATTTCTAAACTACATTTATAATTCGTTAAACAATTAGGCTAACCTAATGAATATGATAAGTCTTATTAATGTATGAAATGAGATTCATAGTTAGGAAGAATAACCAAATAAATATATTAAAATCAGCAGTATGTGAATTTACACACCAGCGAATAGAAAATAAATGAGCGTAATGATCATAGATCACCATGATAAATAATAAAACATTAAAACACTCACTTGTGAACGCATCTAAATTAGGTTTTAGATACATAAATATCTTATAATTACAAAATTTCAGAGATATACTTTTACAGAAACATAATTTAAAAAGGATCAACATGTATACCTGTCTTTTAACTATGTTAATGATTAAATTTACTCAAAACAACTACATTACCAGCAACAATAAATTATGTTTAAACAATAAATTAATTTGACATTAAATAGTACAGTGATAATGACCTTTTATAGTCAGTTTATTTGAAGAAACATTACAATTTCAAGTGATACGATGACCAAAGCAGTGAACTAATGAAATAAAATCGATTAATGTTTCAGGTATGACATGGAAACGTCAATCATTTTGAAAGCCGAGATTCAAGATCAACTCAGTCTGAAATACTAAGTAAGCTAAAATTGTAATTAGCAAATTTAAAACTACTAGTTCATTCATCATGTTCTTCAAGTGATTTTAGTGAGATCAATAAATAGGACTCATAAAGAACTAGATTCAATATGTCCAATATTCTGGTATCCTAATCAAGTCATCAAGAAAATAAAACAATAGAAATCATAAGCACCGGAAATTAAAAAATGAAAATTGAAGGTGTATGAAGTTCAGTCTAAAGATGATAAAAATACCTTTATTTGATGCTTACTTTTAAGACTTTCGAGCTATGTGTAAACAATATAAAGCCTACATTTCTAGCGTCTCCTGCAAAATAATGAACTGAATACCAACATATTTGTGGTTGAGATCATTATCGATCTACCCATTTATACTGTCTGATTGATACTAGCTATTATTTGACTTTATTATGAAAGATATTGATTACGTGAACCGAAATGTCAACACAACGGTGGATGGGGGGGGCTGATACGATGAGTCAGAACAACAGATATATACCAACCAGCTTGTACTAAGACCCTTAGTGATTTGACCGAACATTGGACCATTGAGAAAAGAAAACAAAATGTTTATTCTACGCTCCAGCCAATGACGATACAAGGGAGAATATGTGAGCATTCATACATTTTTCGACATATCCTTCAGAAGTATTCATTTAGAATCTATAGGTAGGTGTGGCGATTAATAATGTAAAATGATGACTGTGATATTTAAGTTAGAGATCAGAAGTTGCAAGAATAAAGTCACAACTTAGTAGTAACAACTCTTAGAAACCTACGAAACGTCTGCTTCAAATGTACGGATTCCATACTTCCTTATTAGTATGGATGAACCGATAAGTTTAAACAAAAAACCTGGTGGAAATGTGCATTGATTCTACTTTTCACTTTTTACATCAAGACGGTCAGAGAAAAATAACACAAAGGAAAGTAAACAAGTGAACAACTGCATTAAAAAAATTACGCAAACGAAAAAACGAAAAATTATGATATACAATCTGATAAATACTCCCGACGGAGGATAAATAATAAAGAAACTAAAAAGCAATTTATTAAGCAGAGCAACGGAAACTGGTTGAAATAAAATATGAATTTATAGGATTGACAATTGACTCTAACAACTAACTGCTTTCCAACTTTTATGCTATCACTCAGAAAATTATTTATGAGCCTGTTTGCAGAATTTATCTGCTAATCAGATTATTATAATCGGTTACGTTTTATGAATAAGAAATATAAATTTATTTTTAATTCATCGTATTATTTAACAACACAGTGGGATCTTAAAACAATCCAAACGGATGGATGAAAAAAATGCCATGAAAAAGATATGTAATTCATTATTTGAAAGGAATTAAAAACTTATTTTTATGTATGATTCTTCATATCACTCACTTTTTTCTAAGACATTTTTTCTATGAGCGAACGTCAATCGTTTATTTTCAACTTTTCTTCGAAGTACCTATAAAAAATAATTAAAATTATAATTCACAACAACAATATAGTGACTCCTAACAGTCAGTCAGTCAGTCAGTAACAACGTGGAACTTCGTACGTACGTACATCAGTTCGAGTTGCCATACCACATTAGCACAGAGATTCAGTTATCGATTCAAATCCCATAGTGGTAGAGGTACTGAAAGTATAAGTAGAGATAGGGGACATTAAGGTTTGATGATGTTATTAAAGGAGTATAGTCCAGTGGAATAAATTGGGAAAGAAAATAAAGGACATGAAGAATTCAGAAGATTAGAGTTTGAGAGAACACAAAGAGCGGATGCACCTGCGCCATTGCAAACGATTTTGAGCCATGTCATTCAAGGTCTCTAACCATCGGTTGCTATCGTCTCGCGGTCCCTAACCAGGTAGTCTACACCTACCAACATGACTCAGTCCACTTGTCAGTGACTTCATGGATTTGTGCCATGTTTTGGTCTGGCCGCCCCTACCTTTCTTCCAACCTACTCCTACACCATAAAACATAGCACGTCGGGGCAGTCGGTGGTCGGGCATGCGCAACACATGTCCCAGCCATCTCAAATGATTGAGTTTCACTACTTCCTCAATTGATTTTCCATCCTTACCTAGTACCCGTTTCCTAACAACTGAGTTACTTAATCGGTGGTCCCAGGATATACGAGCAATGCTTCGAAGACATCTATGGTCAAATACTAGTAACCTACGAATATCCTCTACTCTTACCGGCCATGTTTCACTGCCATAAAGTAGGACGGAACGAACTGCTGCGCAGTAAACACGTCCTTTGGTTGATAGACGGATATCTCGCCTACGCCATAAATGACGCAAGTTGGCAAAAGCTAGTCGAGCCTTTTGTATCCGTGCTGAGATTTCGTCACACACCAAACCACAAGGGCTGATGAGACTTCCGAGATAAGTGAAGCGGTCGACACGCTCAACTACTTCACTCCCTATCACTAGTCCGGGTGTCGACGCAACCCAATCCTGAAGTAACATTTTGCATTTCGAGGGAGAGAATCGCATGCCGAACATGCCTGCATTGTTGCTTAGAGTGGTCAACAGACTCTGCATTCTGTCAGCGTCTTCACCAAATAGAACTATGTCATCGGCATATTCTAAGTCAACAAGTGGATCTCCCGGTAGAAGTTCAACTCCTGGAAATTTAGATGAGGAAAGTGTCATCTCTAAAAGGACGTCAACGACAAAGTTAAACAAGAATGGAGAGAGTGGACAGCCCTGACGAACACCACTTGAGGTAATCAATTCTGATGACAGTTCGCCATAAGCTCTCACTCGACCAGTTGTGTTCGAGTAGAGAGCCTTTATAAGGTTGACGTACTTCTTTGGTACTCCCTTCAGTGACAAACATTGCCATAGAACCTTACGATCAACAGAGTCAAATGCCGCCTTAAGGTCGAGAAATACTACCATTGTGGGACGTCTGAATGTGTGTCTATGTTCTAGGACCTGACGTAATGTGAATATTTGATCAATGCAACCACGTCCAGGTCGAAAACCAGCCTGGTTTTCTCTAGTCTGCTCTTCACGAGCTTTGGTTAGACGTCGAAGTATTATTGAAGCTAATATTTTAGACACTATATTAGTCAAACTAATTCCTCTGTGATTGTCACAGGAGGACTTTTGTCCTTTCTTATAGACTGGTACAATCAGTTTCCTTAACAAGTCTGAACAGTTGCCTGCTGTTACCTATTGCCGCTGCCTTTTCCATCTCTCTTGCTTTCGCTACCCACCACTGTTCACGATCTTTGCGCAGGCTTCTAGTCAGCTTACGCTTAAGCTGACTCCGCTCTTCGTTATGTTCAAAGCCAGATGGAATGAGTTTTCGAGCATCTATCAGTGCGGTAGATGCTGCTGAGATCCAGTGTTTAACCCTAACCTTATGGTTTACCGTACTTGCTGACATCACTGCTGTTTCTACAGCTTTTCGGATGTCATTCCATGCTGCCTCGGGGTGGGCATCACTTACATGGCTGCCTAACTGTTTTTCTAGATGTTCCTGAAATATACTCTTAGCTTGACTATCATTAAGTAGGACCCTAAGGGGTTTCCTTGCAGCATGTTTCCTACGTCCAGTAAGACGTAGACAAATACGCGCTCGCACTAGAGCATGATCTGAGTCTAAGCATGTGCTCCAGAATGAGCGACAGTCTTCTATCGAGCCCCTCCATCGGTGGCTGATAGCGATGTGATCTATTTGGGTCCAGCGTTGAGACGAATTAGGGGGTCGCCATGTCAAAAGATGTTTTTCCTTATGCTTAAAGTTAGTGTTTGCAAGAAACAGGCGGTTATCTGAGCATAGCTGCAACAGACGGTCGCCGTTATCTGTTCTTTGAGCCGCGACACCATAAGATCCACCCAGGTGTCTTTCCTTTTCGCTTAGTTTACCTACTTGAGCATTAAAGTCACCAGCCACTATTACTACATCTGAACGCCTAGCTTTTCGGAGAAGGCCGGAAAGCTTTCTGTAAAACTCATCTTTTACATCATCTGAGCTGCAGTCAGTGGGAGAGTAGGCAGAGACGACGAAGAGGCAACGACGAGTGTCCCTATCTTTTCGAATCCTTACTGTTCCGTTTAGTCGGACAGCACACAAACGACTATCTACTGGGATCCAGTCTAAGAGAGCTAGTTCTGCCCTAGGACTCAATGCTATACCTACGCCAGCGAGGCCACGGGATGCAGCATCAGGGCTTCCAGATACACGAAGCGTAAATCGAGTTGGTTCGTTACTTAGACATGGTGCAGTCAAATGAATGACACTACTAGGATCCTGTGTGCGCGTTTCGGAGACGCAGCACACATCGATGGAGCGAGATTCTAAAGTCTTAGCTAAGGAAGCCTGTTGTCCTATTTGGCACAGTGTTCGGACGTTGAAAGCTCCTACGTGTAGTTTAGAGCGTGGTTTCAGGAGACCAGGAATAACATTCCGCGTACTCGAATCGTTCGCACTAGCAGGGCGAGGTGATAAAGGGACGTGAGAAGGGTTAGTCGTGGAGATGAGAGAGTTATTAGGAGGTGTAGGAAGGATTTGAATGTGACCAACTTGGTCTCGTGTGCTGTTACGGGTATGAGGGCTGATATCACTTCCCGGTTGCCCACACCGTGGAAGGGTATTTCTTGGGGGACCTGAAAAGGAAATCGGATTAGTGTTGGTCTTAGCGACCTGAGTGCGTGACCGCAGAGCCCAAGGGACAACTGCTTGAGGCCGGTCGCGCACGGCCTTTTTGTGGGAGGTTTTTAATGTGTTAGCTCCGTTCTTCAAAGGGCCTTACCGCCGGAGACGGAAATCCGTGGGGTAAGGTGAGGTGTGACATTTTTAGGGTCAACCTTTTCTAACCCCTTCCTTCCTTGTGAGAAGGCAGCATCGCTGCAGATGCTGGTTGTCCGAGGGAAACACCTTACTGCTGTCACACCTCTGTACAGTCAGCAGTACGACTTCGCCCTCAGACCTTGAGTTGCTGCTTTTAGTCTTACCGTTCTCCAATCGACCTGCCTGGCATGGTAGAACCTGCAGGAACTTGAGTTCCAGCCAATATAGCTCGGTTGGGTCATCACGATAGGCAAGCCCGACCACCACGTCAAGGTAGCAGCTACGGTCGGGGTGACTCCTAACTCTGAGCATATAATCATTAATATTTTGAAACTTCCTAAAGATGATCCAAATAGATAATGTATTGCAACATGAGAAAAAAAGACGAATTAAAGAGGTATTTACAATCTTTCGAACAAAAAATAACTACTAAAAGGTCAGTCAGTTAGCTACAACGTAGGATCAGGCATATATATGCATCAGTCCAACTTGCCACACCTCATCACCACAACAATATCAACACCAAATTCATAGTAGTTACTTCAATGATAGTAATATATAAAAGAAAGATTGTGTATAAAGATATAACACAAGAACAAAAAACCGGTTCTTAGAAAGAAAAGTATAGAAAAATTTTAATCTCACCGTTTAAGGGAAGACAGATAGTGTATACACCGACGCCATTGTGATCGATTCTCAGCCATGTCACACATAATCTCCAACAATTGGTTACCATAATCACGCAGACCACAACCAAGTACACCGCATCTTCCAACATGGCTCAGATCAGAAGTAAGTGACTTCAATGACTGATGCAACCTTTTGGTTTCGCCGCCCCTGACTTAATTCCAACCATCCCCAACACCGGTTAGCATTGCGCGTCGTGGTAAACGGTTTTCAGAATTGTGAGTCGTGGTAAATGGTGTTCAGGCATACGTAACACGTGACCCAACCATCTCAGTCGATGATGATTTACAATCTCATCAACTGATTTACCATCATTCCCTAATAGTTTGTGCATAACCTCATTATTACTTACCCCGTGATCCTATCAGATGCGAGCAATATTTCCACGGCATCTGTGATCAAATACTAGTTGCTTACGAGTATCTTCTACTCTTAATGGTCACGTTACACAGCCGCAAAGTAGAACAAATCCAACTACCAAGCAGTATACTCGTCACTTAATTGATGAACGGATACCTTGCCTTCACCATAGGTGGTGACGTAAGTTGGTAAAATCCAAAAGAGCTTTCTGAATCAGTCAAGAGATTTCATCGGACACCAACCCATCAGGGCTCATCAGACTCCCAAGATAAGTGAAGTTGTCGAAGTGTTCGACTACTTCACTCCCTATGCTTAGTGCAGGTGTTGACGCAGGCCAGTTCTGAAGCAACAAATTGCATTTAGATGGGGAGAAACGCATCCCAAATATTCTGGCATTGTTGCTTGGTGCTACCAAAACACTGCATTTTATCAGCGTCTTCACCAAATAGGACTATGTCATCTGCGTATTCTAAGTCGAAATTCATTCGACGAGAACGTCAATAAGTCAGCTACAACACAGGACCAGGCGCATATATGCATTGGTCCAAGTTGCCATACCGCATTAGCACAGAAAGATGAACACCGGATTCATAGGAGTAGTTAAGTCAATGATGGTAATATATAAACGAAAGATCGAATATAAGGAAGAAAGAACGTTGTTACCGTCAGTATGTCTAGGATGAAGTTGAACAAAAATAGAGATAGTGGACAGCTTTGACGTATGAGTACCGAAAACAAGAAGCGCTGTAAATACATAAATTTGAACGGTTACAAGCGTGCATATATCATTTACTCAATTACAAAAGTAAATATAAATAAGCGTTAAAAACCTACTGATATTTTCCTGATATCTCGGTGTAACTTCTCAGAAATCGGTTTTAAATAGCCAGATTTTGTTTCATCTACTGATTGATTTTTTGATTCAACAATTTTATTGTATGCTTCCCCACATTGTATAAGTGCCAGACCTTAGTGGTATTATTAAGAAGAAACGGCAAAACATGCAGAAATTAATGAAGTAGTACTATACTTTCTAGTAGTAACCAATGAGAAGCATATTCTGGAGATGTTTTTGTATAAAACCATTCGGAAAAATGCAGGACACAGATTAGTATAAAAGCGATACGATATGGTAATTTTATCTATATTAGTGTGTTGTGCCATGAACCCTACTTATTAAATAACAACAAACAATACTTCATACCTATCTAAACTTATTCAGATAGTTTTAGCCTGAGCTCATAACGGACTGGTCGACAGTCAATCAGATTACTAGGTCACAAGTGATAGTCAACTTAGTCGATTATTTATTTATTATTTATTTATTTGAACACATAAATATTGGTACAGGGGGGCACCAAATATATATGCGCCACACAAAACAATGATAATTTGAAGAGGAGAAAAAAAATATGTATATAAAAAAAGTAATGAACGTGGGGAATTATAAAAAAAAAGAGGAAGAGAACAATAATGGGGGAAACGGAAAGGTACAACCAGAAGAAATCCTTCAGTTAAGGAAGAAGCAACCACTTTTTATGAGTAAAGTAAAAGAAGGTTACAGCACGATCGCCACTGGCTTCTATTCTGAGCCATATCTGATAACGTCTCTAGCCACTGCGTTACACCGTCTCTCGGACCCCAGCCAGGGAGTCGTGGAGGACCAACAGAAGCTAGTCCTTTGCAGCTTTCTTTCATACCACGACACCATGTCATATACTGACCACCTCTCCGCTTTTTCCAACCAGCCCCAGAGTCGGCAAATAATGCACGACGAGGAATTCTCTGGGACGACATTCGTAGAACATGTCCAAGCCACCGAAGTCGGTGTTATAGTCGATTATGTTATGAGGTAAATGGGATGAGATTCATAATAAAGACCAAAGATACCCAATAATCCAGTTCACTTTTCTACTGAGGCAGAGGTTTTGGAATTGGGTTACTGGATACACAATGTGTGAAAGCTATTTTATGTCACAGAACGTATAGTATAAATAAAGTAGTCTGTGGAAAGTTTTAAAGAAACATTTAACGCCCTTATAAGTGATCAAGCCACAAAACCGTTGCACAAGTATAAATACTTGTCAACGCAAACTGTTGTTCACAAGTTACTAGGTGTAAACTGAATATCCATTTCTAGTTGAGAGCACTTGTACTTAGCTGTCCAGATTTGCACATTACCAAGCGAATGACACAAAGTATTAAAGTTGCGTGAAATACGATACGTTGACACAATAATTGAGAGACGACGTAAATATTAGCAAAAACATTTTCAAAACATCAAAACTTACTCAAACCGGATTGCTGACTTAATTGTTTTCCATACTCCAAAAAGCAGTCAGAAAGAAACCTCTCTGCATGAGGATAACTCTCATTGTTTGTGTTTCCCTGAATTTTATTTACGGCAGCATTAGCCCATGCTCGTTTTCGCGCATTAGGGTTAGGTTCTAAACAGTCAATAACCCGCCTTTGTACATCTTCATAAAAGGCTTTGTATGAGTCCATAAGCTTTTTAAGATTAAAAAAGGGAATCAAGCATGAGACGAAAGGCTTATATAAGATCAAAAGTATGTTTACTGATTCGATTCTACAAGGAATAGTAAGCCAGTGATATAGAACGCTAATGCCTAATACGGCAAGTAAAGTACAACCTCCACGTTTAGTCACAACCCGATTCTATATATTAAGTAAATGACGAAAGCTAGGAATTAAAACAATGGTATATTGAAGAAATTCGTCCACATTTTGTTTAAACGAGAACTGGAAGCAAAAATAGAGTGGTTTACAAGGTTTTAGTAACACAAACTGCAGTTGTTTATGTACGAATCCTATTTTGAATAAGCAACAATACCAACTCGATATGGGACACTTATAAAGTGCTAATCCAATTTAGTTGTAATCATGAGACGGTACATACACATAAACAACACAATTCATGTTCAAGTAAAGTTTAGTAACTACGCTTTTGCAAAAAGTTATCTGTTATCTATGGATTTTAATTTGAATACAGGAATGGTAATCTGATCAGATGTGACGTGATACATCAATCGCATTTGAATATTCGATACCATCACACCCAGTCAACCCCAAGTTTGGCTAAGATGCCATGGCTAAGAAAAAGTGTGCCGTAAAAACCAAATTAAAAACATGATCAAAGCTAAACACGGTTGCCATTCATTTTCGCTACAAATAGCGCCAATTGGTGCTGAGATTAGCTTACGAAAACCTGTTTGATGTAACATAAGTATGTCACGAAGTAGTGCTGAGCAATCAAAATAAATTATGATTTCTACTATCCAAACTTGATTAAACAGAAGCCGAATTCACTACTAATAAGTTAACTGACACCAAAACCTTTAAAACTGGCAATGAATTAAATCTACTGAACCGTTCTAGGGAAAGCGTACCATTAAGGAAGTTACAAAAAACATACCGCAACCAAAAGAATTGCTCGTGCATTTAAATCAGACTTCCATTCATATTTTCTCTTGAATACTATCCGAAGTATGTGAAAATTTTCAGTTTTGAAAGTGTGGAGTATATGTTTATGTATTCTCACAAACAATCATGAACATCCTTACTCACTAACTATTAAAAAGCTGTTTTATTGAGTTAAGGGTCAAATCTATTGTCTTGAGATTAACTCACCGTTTTAACCACAGCACAATGAATGGGTTTAGAAAACATGACGAAGTAGAGAATATGAACCGCCAAACTTCAAATACTTTCAGTTTCTGAATTGTTGCCTGAGACGTTTCCTGACAATTTTGAACCGAAATCGGCTAAATATTGATGATATTGAATGACGGAGAATTTTCGTGAGCCAAAGAAAATGACACGGCAAATTTTACTGCAGATATATGCAGCGACGACTGACTGGAGTCACGTTTCCTGAACTGGATTCAGTATTTGGCTTCGTCCATCAATAATTCTTAGAATGGATTATCTTACTAGAGTATCTAAACCTACACATACCATCAGACTGAGACCGATGACTTTAAATGAACCGTGTGGGGCGGCGAAAGTTAACTTGATAGTATGTTATACACAGTTCTCCTTGAAATTTTTGGGGAAACAAAAACAAATATTTAGGCGAACTAACACGAACTTATTCTATTTCGTTAGGTTCTCATCAGCTGCTTTTGAGATATTCAGAAAATCTAAGGCAATTCTAATTTTACTTAACACAACCTCCAACTAAACATAATTGTATTTTCAAATTCTTTTATAATTATGAATTCTAAAAACTGGAGGTTGTAAGTGGCTGATGAGAACTCAACAAGTCAGGGTTAAGCTGCCTGTGGCTTACTTCATGCAGTGCATCGTAGTAAACAGTGAGTCTTATTTTTCGTTTTATACGTTACGAATGAAAGTTCTAGTCTTTAACCACTTTTCATACATTATGATGGCGATAAACGACTATCATCCTACAATCACATTTTAGTTTCAATACTAAGTTTGCAACGGTCATAATAGTTCATGCACTCGTTTCCCCTAACAGTTCACCGAAATCCTAGTCATAATGGTACGAAAGTATTTTGAACCAACCTGAGTAAGTTGTTTGTAATCGGGACCCTTGTCCATGGCCTTAGTAGCTCCCAATTTTTCGGATAAAAACTGTCAAGCGGACTTCAGGGATAAACCAAGCATTTTACCTGATTACATCGTGCTATGTGTTTTTTAATAGTAGACAAAGACATCGCTCTAAATTTTCACTTGAATGTTTGAATGTAGATAGTGCTTTGTTTGTACTCCTTCTAAAAGAGAAATATATTGTTGTTTTATATCCACAAGACTGAGTAGGAGACTTTGAATGAATAGGAACTATGGACTTTGAAGGTTTGGAAAGTAATTAAAAGTGGAGGCGTGAGTGGGAATAGCGAAACCTAACTAACGGAGCTGAAGACTTTTCAAATCAGAGAGCGACCTACAGATTATTCGGAACGACCTTATCAAATTTCCAATACTCAATATCTTTGTGACTTGCCTATCGTTTTCTCACTACGTTCCTAGGTATTTGTTAATGTCTAAGGGCGGTAGCTGAGCCACGGAATCAGTCATTCAATTGTTATACGTGTGTTTGAATGTCTTGGAATGTATGTTTGTTTCGAAGCAATAAGGTTTTTGCGACAAACAGCCATCACATTACCAGTTAAGGGGTTTCTTGGCTGCGAATGTTGACGTCTGTATGGCCGGCGAAATGTTATGGCTCTTGCAGTCAGGTTACTGAACATCGAGCAGTTGGCCGATCCCTGTCAATGTTAATAACATCCAACGAGTATCGATTTATGAAACGCAATGGGCTGGGCCATACCGCAGTAGTCCTAGTCTGTTACCTGTACCTTCCCTTACTAGTATCTTACTGTAATAACGTTGTTTGTGTTATACGGTCATCAAAGTAGCCATAGTAGCTGGAAAGGAAGAAAGAGCAGTCCATATTAGATAATAGCAGTGGGGTTGTAGAATTATGGTCTAGTTCAATATTAGTACATCTGCCTTTGCCACTATAATAGTAGGCCTTATCCCAAAACTGTCGATTTGTTATAATGTGACTGCTTAATCTATAAGAAGTTACAGGGAAGTCATATAATAGTCTACACTGAATCGTCCTATCGTGATAATTAGCAATATGACGCTCAGTACTTTTGAAGAACATATATGAGCTAGAAAGAGAGTGGTACATTCAATACAAAATGAGTAGTTAATAGCTTAAACTGTGGGTGATATGAGTATTTGATACTCAGGAATTGAGGAACAGTCACTAATGTATCGATGTTGATATTGGTCTAAATTAGAAAGTCAGTCAACGTTTATACCGGTATGATGTTGATTTATAGTCGCATCTGAATTAGTTGATTAATAGAAGCATAATCGCGGATAGTATGTATCCTTACTGTAGGTGCAGTCGATTTATTAAGTTTGATTCTGTTTATTTAGTTAATGGGAGATTTTCTCAACCTCATTATTGCTTAACCGTGCTAGGATTTAGTACTGCAACAAATGTATGATGTAACGGCTCAAATATGAATATTTGGTTACAATGCAGAATTAATTGTGGCGGTGAAAAATTTCGCAAAGTAAGTAGCTCTGTAAGTCTTCGACACTGAATGCTGACCAAATTAGTTTTAATGGTTACATCTATTTGAAAGCACTCTGTCTTGCATCCACATCAGATGACGAGTGGGAACGCCATGCTTAGCTTATTCTGCAACCGCTAGCCAGTTTAAATCAATCACTTCTCCATATATTGATAGACTATCAAATATATCTTCAAAACTCCTCGCTTCTGCCTTTTGATTTCACAGAATGGGCACGATTCATAGTAGGAGGTGTTACTGGTTGAAACGTTGTCAAACTACAAATACCTGTGGTATCTTCATAATGAACCAAAGTTTACTCGATTAGACCAGACTGAGTTCTCCTGTACAGCGTACGGAGCTTTTTTGTGTGACTCGTATTAGATTAAATTAAATCTCAAACTCTGTGTTCGACAAGAAGAAACAAATAAATGACAGCACTATCCGGTGAAATACTGTCGAGGGATTTTAGGCGTTTTCTATCCGGTACACATATGAACTGCCATCAAAAATTCAAGTAATATGTAAAAATACTGAAGTGAATTTCGGACAGATATCTGAAGGTAGTTCGTTAAATGTGAGTGCATTTGCGAGAGACATGCTCTGGACTCAATGTTCTGATGTGCAATAAACGAATTATTTATATTCATTCGGGATGATGTCGTAATTGATTTGTATAGACTTGAGTGATTATAAGTTGTTGAAATTATAGATCACGTCGGGCTCACCAGTGTAGATCACCAGCGTGGATGATCTATGTCGAAATGATTGGAGGCTTACTCGAGTTAGACGTGAGTGGTGTGACAAACTAGCTAACGTCGAAGTCACACTTCGCGGTCTGCACCTTACATAGATTACCTCATTGACGTATCAAGGTACTATAGGTGCTTTGAAGACTGTACAACACAGAGGACGTTATTACAGAAATATATTAGTTAAAGTAGATACAAGCGAAGGTAAGACCACTGCCGCATGGGCCAGTCCATGGCGTACGATTAACTGATGCGCGTTGGTTGTCCTTGACCTCGACGAGGATTGATGATTTGTTCGATATTCAATGACCAAACTGTCGGATGGTTTGGCTAGGGCTCAGTGGAATCTCGCTGGCCCTACAAAATGCACAAAACTTAAGTGTTAGCGATATAGGTGATATGATGTTCCACGATACTTCTGAATAAAATTAATCTTCGCGAGATGATAAACAGTGAGTGCTGCTCATGTGAATATCAGGGAGAGCATAAGTTGTAACCAAGGTAGGTACAACTCCCAACTCTTCACTTTGATGGTATCATGAACCTTTGTCATTGTTGGGGTAAATTTGACAGTGATGTTTCAACTGCTTATACTGATGATTCGCATGCATGATTGTTCCGCCAAACCTACAATTAAACTGATAAGATACTAAGGTGTTTGCTGAATGAGCGATTGATAGAGAAACATGAACAACAATAGATAAAGATAAATACGAGGAAACAACACTATTTAGTGATTATTACAAGCCAGTTTATCGACCGAGTTTACGTTCACCTATTTTATTAATCAAATTACGTAATTGTCACGACATAAAAATGCTTTATAAAGATACGAATTTTGATGAGGTAACTTTATTATCTTAACCATGTTAAACGTCTTTCTAGGAAACAAATATGATAACTCTATTCAGTAACTCAAATACGCCTGAGAATAATGACTATAATGGGTTTACTAGGGAGCATAAATGGAAGTTCAAATGCTTACCAAGTTGAAATGGCATAGAAATTATATAATACAATGGTTGAAATTGGTTGCTGTAGTTAGCCTGATTACTCCATGACTATGTAGGAACGATGATCAGAACTATGAAACGTCAAAGTAATGTTCCTTCTGATATAGATTGCCTGAAGCACCAAAAATATAGTAAAACATCCAGCAAAATATTGATACATGCTGAAAGCAAACCTCAAAAAATATACATTTAGCTTCAAAGAACGTGTACTTAGGATCCCATGCCACCACGACTTCGAATAAACTTGACATTCTATTAAAAAGATAGGCATACCTTGTCGACTCATTTTGTATTTTGTAAATTACTGTAATAGAGTCAGTTCCAAATATTGCTTGGTCTTGTAGCGTGGTGTCGAGTTGAGCTTGACTATGAACACCGCTACAAGACTACGTGCCAATTAACCAATAAGATCCCCGTAGGCCAATATCAGAAGACAGATGATGGCTGTAGTCGAGATGTATTTGTTGGCGATCTCGTGGTATCGAAAGAATACGGAGATCGTGCCAAAGGAGTACAAGCGTGGTTACTGAGCGTAACCGGATTCGTACAAGTTTAAAGTCAACGGGAGAGTAAGTATAATGGCTGTCATTAGCACAGTTAAACAAACGAGCACAGTAAAACAGTCACTGGTACAATTGGTTATAATAATAATTGTTTTCATTGAACCAATCGCGTTCTGTTGACAAAAGTAGGTCACTACAGGAGCCCCCCGCTAGAAAGGGTTTACACTTTCGATAGGTAGCGGTTTGATTCGTGGGACTGATCGGCAGAAGTGCTGTTGTAGGACGGAGGAAATTGGCGGAACAGGAAGTGATCGTTGATCCTCGAGTTGCCAACGAAAGTCTTTTGCGCAGAACGGTACCAGGAGAAGTGTGCTGCATTTGTTGGTCGAATTAGCAGACCACACCAGAGTGGTTTGTATCCAGGATCTGATGATTGCGTTCGTATGGATGCGAACCAGAAAACGCTGCAGACGTAGGACGAAACCACGTTGAGCCAAGAAACCGGAAGCGACCATAACGACCAAGCGTATGCCAGGCGAATTCGAGACCAGATAATCGACTGAGTGCGTTGACTAGAGCGTGGGTGGCCAAACCAGCTTTCGCCAAAGTTGACTGAAGTCGACGTTATCAAACGGGCGATGGTCGGAGGCGTGGGCTCAGGACACAAAAAAAAAAATCAAAAAAAGAAAAGTGTAGCATGCGTGTATTATAGGAATAATCCTACACCGTATCCGTTATTGACTGTGCGTTTAGTCGCGAAAGCGTGCGGGTAATCGTACTCGGCGACCGGAACGTGAGATGGTGGACTCGTTCGTACTTTGTGAGCCTGCGATCTCATCCGAGGTCAAGGGCGGCGTGGTCTGCCGATCTGGACGTGAGACGGAAGTCTCGTCCGTAGATGGTGCAGATGACGCGTGCTGTTGACCGGGACGTGAGAACGAGGTCTCTGATGTATCTAGCGTGGGATCCGAGGTAGACGTAGAGATCCCGCTATAAGGTTTGGTAGGTCTAGCATTGAGTCTCAAGTTATCGGGTAGGGCACTGTCATCGACGTGTGCTGGTTTGAGACGATCAATGCTGACGATCTCGACGCGGCCGTGTCGATCAACCTTGAAGGTCTTTTCGTGACGAGAGATCACGTGAAAAGGGCCTTCGTAAGGCTGTTGTAGAGGTTTCCGTACCGAATCTACTCGTATGAAAACATGTGAACAGGTAGATAACTCTCGAGGGAGAGCGACCTGTCGATGTTGTATTCGAGTTGACACCGGAGACAGCGTCCGCATAAATGCAGACAGTCGATGGACGTAGTCTGATTTACCGAAATCATTACTGCTCCGTGGTGTTAAGAATTCCCTAGGCAGACGCAATGTCGTGCCGTATACAAGTCTAGCGGCGGAACATTGAATATCTGCCTTCAAACTCGTTCTGATGCCTAAGAGAACGAGCGATAAGGTTTCGTACCAATTGTCGTTTTCGTGTGCTCGGAGAGCACTTTTAAGTTGGCAATGAAACCTTTCGACTAAACCATTCGATGCTGGATGGTAGGCGGTGGTGCGTATGCGTTCCGTACCA